GAAATACGACCTCACAGGTCGCATCGGCAAATGTCTTGGAACCGTCCCAAACGTCCGATTATCGACCTCGTTATCGAGGTCGTCCTCGATAACATACGAAATACGACCTCATAGGTCGCATCGACAAATGTCTTGGGATCATCCCAAACCTGATTATCAACTGAGTCATCAAGGTCGCCCTCGATACACACGGGCAGCATAACCTCGAAGGTCGAACCACAGAGCGTTTTGGGCGCGACCCCAAAAGCGCGAAACCCATAAAGATCGTTCACGGCAAAATACGCACAAAAATAAAGGGGTAGAACAGTTGATAAGAGGAAAAGCCAACAGAAGTGGCAAGAGTCTTACAAAAGCCGACTACGCGGCAAGTAAAAAAAAATATAAAGAAGCAAAAACAACGACAGCTTGATGCGATAGAAGAATCAGGACGCGGGCTCATCTTGAGAAGGATCTCCGATCTGAGGGTTACCGTCGCCAACGACCTGGTTGACGACCTCCACATTCTCGGTGACTTCGTCGTCAACGCCATCAACCGAAGGCGCGAACTCTTCATTGACGAGAGGCCTCTCGAAGAAAGTTCCGACGTCGTTCCAGCCCTCTTCCAGCTCGGCTATGTCAAACGCATTGACCTCGTTCTTAAGCACTTCCGCATCAGCTTCGAGCCTCTCAATCACGTCCTTGGAGTTCAAAGCAACCTCCCCCGTTTCGACCAGTGCCTTCAGCAGATTAACGCTCCCGATTGCTTGATTGTAATCAAGAAATTTAGGATACGCCTCGTCCCTAGTAGTGAAGTGCCTCTGGATCCCGTCAAGACGCTTCTGAAACTCCTCAGCAGCCTCCATGAGAGCCTTGGCCACATTAATGCGAGCGAACTCGGTGCGCCGCTCCCGAAGCCGAGTCTCCTCGGCCCGCGACCTCTCAGCCAAACGTTTGAAGTCGTCTCGGGACTTTGACAATTCCTCGAGATTACGCTCCCGCTCTAAGAGAGCATTGTCTCGCTCCTCCTTCAGTTTGGCGACCTCCTCGCGAAGAAGCTGCACTTCGGAGTTAGCACTTTCTAGGCCTTTCGATGCCTGGTCGGCCCTCTTCATCTCGGCCGCTAGGGCTCTCTGGTGCTCCTTCGAAGCCGTGTTCTGTTCAGCAACAACGCGAAGGCGACGCTCATACATGTACGCCATCCGGTCGATCGCGGTAATGGCCTGCAAAAGTATGGGTTCGGTCAGGAAACGAAACACAATAACAAGGAAAAGCGAAGAAAATCCCAAGTCATTACCACGACGGTCTTCTTCGCGGCGTCGGTAAACGCCGTCCTCTCGTACATATCCTGGAGCTCGAAGAAAGGAGACGGACCAACGTGAATCCTGCGGAATAGCTCCGCACAGGATGTGGGATCGGTCGAGACATGAACATCGCGCCCGTCATAGTCGTATCGCCACCTGTAGTCCGGAGCCCAGGCCGTCCTCTGCCTCTTGGCCGGGTCCGAGCGCATTGTCTCGGACTCATCCGCAGTCCGCTTCCTGGTCGGCTCGACCTGGGAGTCGTCGTACAGAACGACCTCCCGGCTACCCAGGGGCACATCGTGAGAAGTCTCAGCAACGGGTATTTTGGCCGACCGCGCGACAGCCACCTCCCTCTCCCTTCTCTCCCTCTCGGCATCGGATCTCGCATCCGAACGGTTAGTACCGCCAGCACCATGACCGCGACGATCACGACGGTCATCTTCATCTCTCCTATCCTGACGACCCGAAGGTCGTCGTTCTCTTTCCTTAGCCTCATACTCAGCTAAAGAAAGACGCTTCCCCAAGGCCAAAGCCTCATCCTTCACGGGACGTCTTTGCCGGCGTCGTAGCGGACCTCTTCTTGTATCTTGCTGAGTAGTCACCCACCGCGTCAACATTCAATTTCCCCATAATCTCTAAGGAAGCTAATATAAAAAGAAAAATCTCAAAGTAAATATACGCGCTCATCGTAAGAAGTGAGATATGGGAAAGAATCAATGCCGACCTGGAGTCTTTTTAGTCTTTCTTGTTTTCGAAGGACCTCTTCTTCGGCTCGTTCCCTTTGGTTTTGAGGAAGGACGACGAACGGGATCTTCTTCGTTGGGCCAAGTATACGGGCACAAAGCTAGGATTTTCTTGACGTCGTTACGGAGCTTCTCAGGGTACGGATCGAGGATCTTAGGACAACTAACTGAAAAGAGAAACAAGAAAAACGAGTCAGATAAATTACCGAACAGCAAGGGATTGACCTCGAAGAGATAAGCAGACTACCGGGTGAAATAGTCCACCCATGATAATTCGTGACCACCACGTCTTCAGCAGAATCATTGTCAATCTTAACGAAGAAATACCAACGAAGCCAATCGTTGGTCTTACTCTTCGCGCCGACGACCAACTTAGGAGTCAACGAGGACTGAGTGTATACCAAGCCCGGCTTGGATTTTCCGAAATTCTTCTTCGTCGTCAACTCCTCGTACAAGGAACAACGAGGTTCGACGCCACATTGCGCGGCCAAACGGATCAGGCCGTAAGCATTCCGAATAGCAGCCGGGGAAAGTTGCGCAAACGCCATTTTTCGCCGCGAAGCATACTGAAGCAAGAAGGCTGGAATCGGGAAAGTCAGCCCGCAGTCAGTAATGTGCTTCTCGTATACACAAAGATAACCAGGCGGAGCGGTCCAGGGCCGATCCCAGGTATTCAGAACGAGCGTATTCAGAGTAGCCGGAGCATTGCAAAAACGTAGAGAAAGCTCAATCGTCTCGCTCGTCGACGTCGTCGGTCGAAGGTAATCTGGAATCCCCGGTGCCGGGCCGCCGGGCTGAATAAACCCAACCGGAGTAGGAACCCGCCTGATCAGCGGAACATCGTCCAAATGATCAGGAATGCTAGATGACGGGACGGCGGGACGAGCCGCTCTAGCGGAAGCGGATTTGCGTCTGATGAGCGGCACGTCATCCTCATCCATAGATGCCGCGTCACTGTCCTCATCTCGAAGGCACAACGTCGTGACGGGCTGAGGATTCACACTCGTGCCGGCTGCTCCTGTTCGGCACAAAAGCTCGCGGCGTTGCAACTCCGCGGCGTCTCGGGAGACTCTAGCGACAGAAGAGACCGACGAGCCGGAAGAAGTTCGAGACCTTCGACCCCGAGAGTTGCTGACCGATTCCTTGAGAAAGTTGTCGACAGATCGAACGAACGAATCATCAGAAGTACGAGACCGACGATGATCGGAAACGGAATCAAAAGAACCGACGCTTGAAGACATAATCGGAAATAAGAAACAACGAACCGAGAAAAGAGGAGAGAGAACGGAGAGAATACCTTGAATTGGTGCGGAGGAAGAATGAGAAAAGTGAGAAGGGGGGAGAGTATTTATAGAGGAAGTCGGTCTAAGAAAACCGCGTTATCATTGCCTCGAAGAATGAAACAATCATCACGTCTTCGCCGCCCACTACACGCGAGCAGTCCGGTTCCCGATATCTCGAAAGCAGCGAAAGGCGAACCAGAAGAAGCGTCTGCCGCACGCGCCTCGGGAACGCGCGAAAGAACTCGAAGCGAAAACGGCGAAATGATTGCAACCCTAGCCGCGTTACTACCACGCACTAGGGTTGGGGGGCTACTGTTGATGGTGGATTTTGGGCTCGGGCCCGAAATCTTAAGCAAATCCATCATCCTCTGCGGCCCAGCGGATCTGAAATGCCTTAAGGCCCAAGAAGAGCCCAGTAGACGTGCTCCCACCGACCTAGGGGCAAAAGGGACATTTCGGACGCACAGGGTACCCTACCTCTGCACCCTATAAATAGGAGGAGGAAATGATTGCGCAGGAGATCCCGAAATAACCGCTTTGACAGAGAATATCGTGCAACCGTCAGAGCACTTTGCGGCTCGGCTCGTACTCTAAGTTTTTAGCTCGTCTATTTTTGTAATCGTCGGGTCGTTCTTTAAATAAGAGATTCTTCTTTTACCCTTAAGACTTCGAATACGTACTTGTGTGATTTTGAGGATCAACATGTATGTTTATGCGATGGTCGTTTCTTAGTTATAAACTTATAAGCAACATCGATAGCAAAATGATATCAAATTTTGTTTGTTTTGTAGTCGTATCTGCAGGCTGCAGCAACAACATATTACAAGGACTAAATCATATTCGTTTTGTAGTCATCAGCAACATCAACGAGCAACTAAACTGTTTTTAGAAAAGAAGTAGTTGTCTTGTCAGATGCTTTTCAATGGATATAGCTAAATTGCTAATTGTTGTCGTCAACAATAAAACGAATAAAATTTTATATTAACATAAGCCAAAAGGAAAAAGGGGTTTGAATCATATCGATATCTTAATGAGGTAAGCCCACCATAGTTTTGGGCTCTAATTGGCCCAGTTAGGATATATTATCGTTTATCTCTCTCTATCGCTTGTTGCATTTTCGAATTTGGCTAACATTAGAGTTTTGATCTCTAAACCCTAAATCCGTCAAGGTCCAAATCACTCGTACTTCATCGACTTGGTACTACTTGAATCAACGCTTTTAGTTCGCCTTTTTTTTTTCTGCATCAATCTTTGTTTTTGTGTTTTGTTCCTATTAGTTCACGAGAATCGGTTCATTTGATAAGATCTTTTAGGTTTTAACATGATGTTTCTTTAAGAGTAGTTATTAAAATTTTGCAGTAGTAGTAGCTTGAGGGTGAATCTGGATTTCGAAGAACGTATAGCGACAACTCTTTTAAAAACTTTCACTTAAATGTATAAACTTGTTAGAGATGGATAGGATTAATTAGGTCGTTTTCAAATTCACTTTAGTCTGTTTGCTACATTCATTTCCAATTACTTGTGCTCCAATTTGTTTGACAACATCTAAAAGATATGAGATAAATGTTCTTTTTTAGCTCTATCTCTATAACATTTTCACATTTAAAATACTTATTGTCATCATAGCAAGTAATGGACCCTGGAAGGTTTGCTTCTACTATAATCTACTCAACGATTTACTGATAATGGTCGTTGATTATTCAAATCTTGTATTCTACTAACGTCAAACCAAGAATCCGTCAACTGGATTGACGGTGTATAAAAGATATGAAATCTTCAGCAAAGTATCTCATTTGTGGTTCTCGTGGCTTTCGGTTAGTACTTAGTAGTCCCCTGTGCTTTTGGATAAGTCACACTCCTTGCTCGTATCTGTATTAAAAACCTTTACCAATTAGCATCCACACATCGACTAGCATTCACACATCGACTAGGCAGAAGTATTAAACATATCATTATTAACCATATCTTTGAAACATACACTCAAGGTTCAAGTAGAGTCTTAGCATTTGCATATAAGTGATATCATAGGAGAGTACTAGAGAGTGGTGGTACTGATTTATTTCTCTATACTAGGAGTCAATACTATATATGACTCAGCTGATTTTGACATTGTTAGATACCACAATTTCAGATATTCTAAGAGAGAAATTTAGATGACAGAAGAGAGAGAGCAGACAGCTTCTCTATCTAATCTGTGGTCGCTTGAATGATGAGTTTGGCATAGGAAGTGTCATCTCTACCCTTGATCTTTCTTGATTCTGGATCACCTGACCAGTGATTCCTCTCCGACCTGATCCTTCTCCAAAACTACTCTCACCAGAGCTCTTCCTTCTTCTTTCATTGTGTCCAGCTAAGCGCCTACGACAACTTCTTTTTGCTTCATCAAACTCTTGGATCTCATGAAACCTGTTTCAAAAACTCAAAATCACCATTCAAAAGATCCAGTAAAAAGTTTAGTTAAGGGTAAATTATGTTGTACGTTACCTGCTGCATTGTTGACAAAAGCGTTGGTTAAGTCCTGAGAGAAAGACAGAAGATGCCTTTGCATGAACTTCACACACTTTGTGTCTCCGGTGATACAGTTTTGCCTCTTTCATATCAGCTGTGCATCTATCTACTTGGCAAAGCCGCGATGAGCCACCACGATCGATGTTGCCACTAGACCCTCTAACTCTATCCATCACTCCTTTCCTCTTCTCTTCTTCCCTACCAACTTCCTCTTCTCCATCCGTATCATTCTCCATTTCTTCTTCCACACGGTAAGACTTTTTTTTCAAGTAGCCTTGTCCTTGTGTTCTTTTACCCTCCATTTTTTGAGTTAAAGAAAGCTTGAAGTTGGAGTCTTGAAAAGATGGTTTGTTGGAGAAAAGAAACTCTAATAGGTTAAGAAATGGTTGAGGAATGGGACTTGGTGATATTGTTGACGAAATTGAAGATTTTTGAAGAGTTTAAAAGGTGAAGTAAAGTCGGGAGATGGACCACTGTGTTCTTGTACGTTTCTCTGGTGGAATAAGTGCATGATTACGTTGATGTGCTAGCTCAGAAAAAAATAAAAAAAATAAAAAGTTAGAAAAAAAAGAAAATTAGATATATAGAATTATATATAGATAGGCATTAGAGAAACTTTAAGGTGTTTTAAACATTTTCATTTGTTTGTTTGAATTTTAGATTCAAGAAATAGTTGATAGAAGTATGAAAACCAAAGCTCAGTTTTTCTAGTTTAGTGTTGAATCTGAAATTTTGTTTCAAATGTTAGATATTTTTATCTTCAAGATATCAATGATTGCCTTATAGAGGAAGTCTTTATTGGCCTGCCACTGTGTGAAATAGTACATCAAGGTCCATAATTTACACATGGGCTTAACTCATAACAACAATCTTTTTGTTCTTTAGGAACAAACCAAAAGTCTTCCTAATAAATTGATGTGACTATTGAATTCGTTTGCTTGCAAACCTTGAGTCTTTTTTTTTTGCTAGACTCTTATTGGAAATGCATTTACCATAATCTTAGGATCTGATCTTTATTTTTTTTACACATGGATATTATCATGTGTATGGACCAGGGACAAACAAACGAATAGAGTAGATGCTTATATACGATCTAACCCTTTTGATTTCTTTCTTGAGTTGTTAGCTTTTATTATTATCACCATTGCTTATATAAAGATTCTCTGTAGAAGTGGAGGTATAACAGATTGAAAGATGGAGATAGAACAAATGAGATCACTTACTTTAATTTAAAGTCTTGATATCTGGAACCATTTTTAAGACAGAGATTTGTTGTGAGTTCTTTTATCTTTTACTTGTTTTCACCATGAAAGGTAAGTCTCTCAGTTTACCTTCCTTTTTTCTTACAGTGTGTTGTGTGGAGAAGCAATCACTGACAGATTCCACTGGCATCATCATAACTCTCTTAGAAAACAAATGAAAGTAACTTTGAAACTTTGAGCTGAATAGGTAAAGAAGATACAACAGGTAAGTTCACTGATTTACTCACGTGTGTTATTTTCCTTAAACTTTTTTACAGTGTTGTTGTCTTATTGTTTCTGAAATACTAGAATTAGTGGGTAGTGAAAGACAGAAAGAGACAGGACACAAAGGTTTCACATGCGACATTGTACTCTCTCTGACTTTGCCTTGCCTTGTCTTGCCTGACGCAACTTAGCTTTTGCAAAACCAAAAGCTGCCTTTGTTATTATTTTTTTTTTTTTTGCATAACTGAATAAACTTTGTACCGACGAGTGACTATTCAGTTTCCGGTTAAGTTTCGGTTTATAGCTGTTTGTTTTGGTTTGGTTCCGGTTTAAATGTGGACTCGGACTCTGAATGTCCATGTATCACATCTCTCTTATATGAGCACTATAAATTTTGTGTCATAAGTAACTTATATAACCTATATATGGGTAAACAAGTTCATTTTATTTGAATTTCTTTTATTTGTTGGAATTTGAAATTTTGTATTAGTGTAAATAAAAGTGATTCTCTTGGAATCATCTCAAGTAAAAGGTTGATATTCAAGTTTTGGACTATCTAACAAAAGGTGATTCCAAATTGTGATGTTGAAGAAGAATATATATAATATAACAGATTTTTTTATTTTAAATCTGAGTGATAAGGGTACATGGATGATACTAATTTATTCGCATTCAAACTTTTATAATGTTCGATTCTTTCCTTTACTCATATTCTGCATTTACTTACTTCGTTCCTCCGCGTCGGTCTTTTTACGTTAGCAAACAAAACGGACGTAACTATCCGTAGGACCTTGTCCGTAGCCACACCTCCATTGAAACAAAATTAAGATGCCTTTGGTTTTAGAATCCAAATTATATATGATTTGTCGAGCTCAGCGATTGATTTTGTCAAATTTATGTTTTGCCACGTATCAAGATTTGCATGGATTTGGAGGGAAAAAAACTGTACAAGGCATGGAGAATCACCGACTCCACCACCCCGAATGATTCAAAATCTAGACAAATTGGTTCGAAAACCGTGTATCCTCCATCAGCGAGATAGGGATAGAAAATATGATGGTTTTACGTACTTGTTTGGATGTTTGGTTTGCGTAACACAGTTTAAAAAAAAGTTAGCATGGCTTAATAGTTTAATTGAATTAAAAAAGAAGTTTATGTAAATAAACTTTTTAATCTTAATATTAGAAAGTTGGGAAGATTGGACCGACCACGGTCCGGTTCTAGAAAAAGTCATTGTATAATTTTATCTTTTCTGGTTATTGTTTGAAAAGTTTTGGACTAAGGCACATCATACGTCTTCATGGGAGCCGAAGAAACTCGTATTAAGCTGCATTATATTCGAACTAAAGGAGCACTACTTTACAAATTTTTGAAAAAGCCATGCTTAATTGCTTATACCACTAGCCATATCTTTTAGGGTTTAGTTATGGTTAGCTAATATTCTATTCGAAAATGATTTAAACTATTTAAAATTATGGGTAAATATTTTATTACTTCTCTATAACGTGTGACAATCATCTAGAGCAAAACACTAATTAAGAGGTCTAGTTTAGGTGCATACTAGCTGAGTTACCCGCGCCTTACGCGGCCAAATGATATTATAAAAATACATTTAAAAATCTTTATATAATAAAAAAGTTAATACAAAATTAATAAATTTAAGACTACTATAAACTTAATGCAATTAACTAAGAACATTGTAAAATACTAATATCGAATGGAACAACAAATATCGAATAAATTATGGATACAATGTCAGATATATTACGATCCAAACTCTAAAAAAGTTATATCTATTTTTTAATTAATTTTTCTTTTTATAAATCAAGTTTTTTCACGTTCTGAATGTTATTCTTTTCAATTTGGTGATATATATAATGAGTTTGTTTCTTATTCAATATTTCTAATTCTAAATCATAAAAGAACTCACATATAAGAAAAACATATCAAACTTAAAGTTATTCAAATTCTTGAAAAACACACTAAAATAAAAGAAAAAACATAACAAACTTAAAAGTCGAGATTTTTAGTAGTTGTACATCTATCTTTGGTTAAGATCATTTAGTTCTCATCAACAACCTCTCCAAATCCATCCGAATAAAAGGTAGATACAAATTCAAAACTATTTGGAAAAAACAATAGTTAAACTAAAATAAATTGTAGCAAGCATGGACTGTTAGGATTCAAACCAATTTGAGTGCATTCCGTTGTTATAGATCGTTTACCTAATAGACCAAATAAATAATTTGAAAAATCAAAATCATGGAAAATGCGATGATAAACATGGTAAAATATAAGCTAATCTAAAGAAACAAACGTCTACGTACCTTGAAATACGTCTACAACACCCCATCGGATCACGCAAATAATGACATCGTCTCGACACTCCTTGAAAGCCTTATAGAACTTTACTGCCTCAGAGCCGGCCAATTCACACCTCAAGATATTATTCCTACAACATATTAACATAAACATATGGTGAATACTTTAAAATAGAACACATATTACCATATTCATTTATAAAGTAAACAATATATCTGGAGTCACGAATGTCAAAAGAGATTTATTGTACATGGAATACTCCACTACTTTATCAGGGTCTTGTTCTTTGACATCTTCACAATCACAATCGCCGAGACTCTCTTCCCCCCACTCGGTCACCTCATTATATCCTTCATCACCATCGTCTTCATCATCTTTATCACCATCCTCATAATCCTTGTCTTCTACTTCATAGAAATCCTCATGTTCTTCATCTTGTTCTTCATCTTTTTCTTCATCCTCATCGTCATTGTCCTCGCAATCGTCACATTCATCACATTCCTCTAGAAAATCATATTCATCATCTTCTAGCTCAGAAACATCAGCATCGATACTCACAACCTACTCGTCGTCGTCATTCGTGTCCTTAGCTTCATCATCCTCATCAATCTGATAATCGGGATCATCACGATTCTTTGCCACTTTCACCGTCACCAATCAACTCGTCGACATCATCACTGGGGGTTTAGACACATCTTAATCAACCTTCGAAGATAGAAATCTTCTGGTACAGAATCACCTTCGTCCGCATCAATACTTTTTTTGCAGACATTCAAATCATCCCAAGTTGCAAATTCCCCAACATGAACGACTTTCCCAATAACATCTAAAAATTTAAAAATATTTACGTGAATATTTCTTTTTTAAAGAATAAACGTAAATGTATTAAAAAAACCCGAAGATATATGGTAATAGCAAATGCCAGAAAAACCTACCAACCAAGTAATCATCACAATGAACACCATCCATTATCTTGCTAAAATCTATGAAATCAAAGTAATTTCCATCTCCCACAACAGCCGTTATAACAATTTTAGTTGAATACAAAACAATTATTTTGTATCGATGATCAGTAGCTTTGCACGAACCAAACAGTTCCAAAACTTTGAAATCTTTAAAATCAATCCAATCACCAAGAGTAATCTTAGAACCAGAACGATGGTAAACACAACCTCTAAAAAGAAGACTGCACCTTCGAACCCTTCAAAAAAAAACAAAAGGAGCCAAATCCAATAAGCTTCATATTTATGACAATCGAGGTTATACAAATAACATATAAAATCACAAACCTTGCTATCAGATAGGATTACTTCTAAACTCGTACTAAGACTACGTAATTTTTGTTGCCATAGACACAAAACCTTAACTCGGATAACCCAACCATCCTTTGTAGAATCCAACCGTGACACGTCGTCAAACATCTTGTATCTCATCGTTTCACAAACTAATCAAAAATTTTAAGAGAGATCAGCACTTATTAAGTTGTTAAGAGCAATATGAATCTCAAGAGATATTTTTAACCGTTCCTCGAATAA